CCTGTGTAAAATAATTAAATATCAAAATTGTAGAACAGATTGTGGTTGTAGTTTTTGGTAGAAGTATTTAATGGTATTCAGTGGTGTAGATAATAAAATACAAATTTGTTTCATGAGCATTTTAAGACTGCAATGGCAGCTGGGACACTTACATGCCTTTAAAGCACCAAAGACTTATCAAAGGCTTATCCATATGATAACAGGCTTTGACCAAAACAATTGATTATCGTATGCATTTGTAATAATAAAAAACCTTACCTAGGTTCATAGTGCGGCCTGTCTCTCGATCTACAAAATTTGCTTGCTTGTACCAGGGTTGGTTGCGGCGAGCCGAGTTCACAACACTCCATATAGTCCGCACGACCACAGAATAAGGCTCGTTGTGAAAAATCAGTATCACAGACGCGGACGGGAGCTCCGCGTCATACACCACACGTTGACAGGCTGGATTCCGGAAATCTGTTAGATTTTCAAAGTTTGAAACTGGTTAGATTAAAAAAAAATATATCTTTTGTTTGATACTAATTTTTTTAACAGGTGTCACAAACATCCACTTAGGTTTAGTGACGAATTTAAGCTCATAACATTCATTAGAGCTTCAAGGAGTCATTTAACTATAAGGGACATTTGAACTGACCAATAATTGTATGTTTTTCTAATGATATAAATAGGACATTTAATTAATTTTTGATATTCGGCAAAATGCATCCTTTTTATTTTATCACATAAGTAAAACTACTAATCTGACTTCCATAAAATTCATACCATAGACACATAAGCTATCTAATTAAATAATTTTGACAATCAGTCAAGAAACTGCAGAATAATCACTGAACATAAAAAATATAGCCCAATAGAGAACCACCTTCTTTTTGGAAGTCAGTTCAAAACATCATGGAAGTTACTTTCAGTATGAAAAATGTTCTCTATCTTATTATCAGTTATGTATTTGTTAATATGCAGAATATGGCGTCATGTAATAAGTAGAGTTTGGGGACTCTAATATGTTGTGTCCTAACTTAAGAGTGACTTAATGTCTCATGTGAAACTATTCTTAAACAGAAATGGAAAAATAGTTAAAAATTTCATCAGAGACAGGCACCCTAAGATCCTGGGACTTGTAAACTTTTTAAGCATTTTTTATTTAAGATTTTATAAATACATATAGATTTGTGAATGCAAAATCAATTCAATATAATTGTTAGAGAATCTTAGATGAGTCAGGTTATTAAGTATTTTTCTTTAATTTAAAGTTATCTATTTATTCATGTATTACATGTATTAGAATAAAATTTTTAATAAACATTAATAATTACAATTAAGTCTAATAAAAAAAAAACTTGAAGAGTTTTTAATTATAAACTGGAGGCCTACTCGCTTTCTCGAAAACGAAATTTCGTTTACGAACGAAATTAAAACGAAATTTCCCATGGAACGCTACTCTTTATCATTTTCGTATACACCAACGAATGTTCGTTTCCAAAGACAATTTTCGTGATCGAATGGAGTGAATGGCATTATTGGATTTCTTATAATGTCAAATTCCGGTTTTTACCGTAACTTGAAATATATAATATTAAACAATACATATATTTCTTTTAAATAAAATTTTAGTGGCTAAACATTGCTTAAACATAAAATATTATAATAATATAACGAAAAACTTAGTATATTAATGAATTTTATTTTTGGTTACAACTTATCAAGACACTATAAAGAACTCTTTTATCCACTGTATAAACCGACATATTTAAAAACAACCTTTCATTTATACGATGGCTATAATCAACGTATGGCAATCTTAAATATCCGTATAATACAAACGATTCTCATCCTGCCAAAAGTTTTACAAGTTTTCACCAAACTGTTCAGTGTTTACTTTTTTTTTTTAATTATTGTGTGTTTCGAAATTTATCTTGACAATTCAGTAAAAAACTTTATAAGTAAGTATGAAAGTAATATTTAGTTTTTCGGCACAAAAAAAGGTTTTTAGTAATAAATTTACTTTTTATCAGTCATATTTTTCAGGTATAATGACATAGCCTATATGCCTCGTAAAATCTGTAATATTAATGACATAATTCTATAGGCAATTATTCACAATTCATACATAAAGCCAAAATAAACAATAAACTATTAGGTACTCACTGTCTCTTAATAAGATTCCTTTCATTTTGGTTTTGAGGGAATAATATATTTTCTTATAATACCTATCTGGTGAATTGAGGACAGTCCTAACCTCCTAACACCGTGAAACTGTTTGTTGGGCCATAGGCCCATCCATGTTTTGAGATACGAATCTTTGGTAACTAACTACCTCGGGCATAAAAATTCAACGCTGTAAGAATCATAAAAATATGAAATGCATAATGGTAGGCATGCAATTTTTTTTATCAAGAACTACGATAAAATATCTTCCAAGTTTAATTGTGGACTCGATGGCTTGAGATCTTGCCTGTGGATGCAGTAAAGGTATAATCTCTTGGCATAGTTCTTGAAATAATTCACAACTGAGTCTGTAAATACTTACAAACTCAGTATCGAGAATATTTCTTATATTAAGGCTATTTCGAAGCCGCTGCCGTCTAATCGTTCTTCTTCTTCTACAGTCTAATCGTTCTTTACTGAGAGCTGACTCGATTAATAGTAATATAGACCCCATTTCGAAAATAAAAAATTGCTAACGAAAATGAAAAGGTAACATTTTTTACTTCGTCAATTTGAGGTAAGAATTCCGAACAATTAGATGTCAAACTCAAATGTTCGTTTTGTCATTTCGTGAAATAGAGTAGGTTTAGAAAATAAATATGTCAAACATTTTCGTTTGTTGAATATTCGGAACGAACGTAATTGTGGTAGGAAACGTCCGAAGTTTCGAACGAAATTTCGTTTTTCGGTGAATTAGAGTAGGCTTCCTGGTACAACAAAGTCATATTAAGTGATTATAAAAATTTCTATCATTTTACAATAAAAAAATGCCTATAAAAAGGGCTTCAAAATGAAAAATTACACTTACTTTAAAGACAGTTCAATACTTAAGAATATTTTATATAAAAGCCATATTGCTGAGGCAATTTTGACATTTTATAAAATCACCTCACAAGTACAGGTTTTTTAAGTTTTTTGGATAAAGAGAGAATTTTCAAAATCTGTTTCTATTATACAGTTATTGAAGGGAGATACATGTAAAATACATTTAGTTGAAACATAGATGCTAGTCCCATTTATATTTTATAAAAAAAAAATAATGAAAGTTTAAAGCTAAATAATATTAGATAAATATATTGAATGGATGATTTCATAGAAAATATATTTGATTTTTCAAATAAACTAAAATTCAAAGCTTCTTCTTAACCTGAGAAAGCAAGCAAGAACTATTTCAAATTATATTTTTATTTGCCTTAAAAAGCTTAGGTCTCAGCGAACAATGGCACTTTAAATTAATTTAGTTTATGCTGCAGTATGGTTTTGGTATAGAAAATTCAAATAAGCAATAAGAACACAATTGAAATAAATATTAAATACTTCTTTACGATCGCATATGATTTGATGCAATTTTATTACTTTTACATGATGAAAGATAAAAATTTCAACAATTAATTTCAAAAATTATCTCAAAGCTTTGTGGGTACATAAATGTCATTTAAAACTTATTTTAGTATTTGAGTACCAACAATGAACACTCCAATGATCAATTTTTAAGTACATAGTTATTTCTGGCGACAGTTATGAGGAAACGATGTCCTATAAAGTAAAGAGAAAGACGTGATTCAAATGTAAAAACTTACCTTTCAAAGTTCTGTTGTAGGCGATTCGATCACTTAAATAAACGTTAATAGCTAGTTTTTTTTCAGATTCTTCACCAAGTAATCTATCCTCGCCCATCAGGTGAGCGGCTACGCCACCTTCTCCAAGTCCTGGTATAATTCGGGCTTCATCTTCCATAATTTCTCTTTCATATACACCCTCAAGTGGATCGGTAAATTCCGCGTGAGTATTACGTTTTCCACCTTTCCATTTCTCAAAAAACGCTAATAAGAATATAACTAATATTAATAAAAGGCATATTTTTGCGACGTGATAGCATTTTCTCACCGGTAAATTGACCATAGTTATTTCAACCGGCGACACAACAGCACCTGACGACGTGCTACTGACAACTAACTTTGACATTTCGCCATGTTTGTTTACAGAATCAGTTTTAATAACAGGAAAAGTAAACGTAAACAAAACATTCAGCCTAATCTTAGAATATAGGAAGTGACTTTTTTATAGTTTTTTTTTATAACATTGCATAGGAACTTCGTATTCGTATTAGAACTGAATTGTTCAATAAGCAAGTTTTGATTACATTTCCAACATATCCAAATAACTTCGAATCGTAGCCAAATAAAAAATAATAAAGAATGTAATCGAAAAGTACCAGACGTTTATTCAAAAATTTTAAACTTGTATGTAAGGCAATGTAGGTACTTTAACTTATTTTAAAATTCTTTTATTTATCTTATATCTTTTAATTTATCTTTTAATCTGAGAAATATTGTTTTAAAATGAATACTGGCTTTCCGCCAGCGGCGTCAACATGGTCCTGTACTATAGGTACATATAAACTTTCCTCCTATATTGATAACACCGCTTTAAAACCTGTTGAGTAATTTAAAAGATGTTAGTGTAAAGTGCAGGAAGCGACTTTATTTTATAAGTAAGATACCTACAATGCCTACATTATGATGGAGAGAGATTGAAGGGTATTGAATGTAAGAAGTTAGAGCGGTTAAAATTTCTTAAAATAAGGAGTTGTTCATTTTCGATGCGTATGTATGAAGTCAACGTACTCTTTGTACTCTATGTTCTGTGTCTGGTGCTACATTCGCATTCCAAACTATAATCCAAATGCTTTGTTTGGGATCTGGGCAACGTAAATTATGTTTATCTTATAATAAAAATCTAACCATTAAATTAATTAAGTTTCAAAAGGATGACAATAAAAAAACGAAATTCGCTTATTAATTTTATTCCATAAAAATACACAATAAATACATTCGCATATATTCAATAACACATATTGCACATAAACACTTAATTACATTCTCTTTCTAAATAATTTTCTGGAATGGTAATTTAGGCACATTTTATTAATACTTAAAGCAAATAATTACAGTGGTCAAATTATTACAAATCCTTAAGAAGACGTCGACTAATTAACATAAAGTTCGCTACACACACAACTGTTATTTGTTTGGACGGAAAATTAAAATCATCCAATAATTAAAATATGCAAAAATCGTAATTCAAGTCTTATAAACACTATGTAATGTCAAAATTTTAATTAATGTTTCAGATAGTTGGTGCAGAGTGTGCGAGTGAGACATAAAATATACAAAAAAAAGTGTGATGATTGTTTTAACTGACAATTGTCTTTGTCACAAATACTTATCGTGTCTCATTCGCATAATACGAATATAATAATATCACGAATAATTAAGGTTCTCGAAAAGGATTTAAAACACCTAAAAATAATTTAAAAAATTAAAGGCGCTTTGAAACTCGTTATTTTTAAATAAGTGCGGAAGTATAAAATATTATTATTCTTAGGCTTATACAGGGTTAATTATAAAAAACCAATAACCAATATTCGTTGCAGGTTTTTTTTAAATAATACAAAAATAAAACTTAATTTACTGTTCGAATATTAATAACTTTAAGCGCGTATGGCTCACAGTGAGCGAATTATCGTCGTTCTTTAGTTTATCAATAAACATAGACTTAAAATTTCACGACACAGTACAAATAACCCTGTATGTCTTAATTCGCAAAATATAAGAAAAGCGAAAACAAGGAAAACTAAAACTCTTAAGACATACATAATATTAACTTAATGATTTACAATTTTATTTGAATATGATTGAGGAACATTTTCTTGCCAATAACGATCTTGAAAAATAAACCAATGATGTTTAAAACATTATTTTCCTGTCGTGCTATCCTTGGTGAAATTATCAAAAAACCCGCGAGTGGACAAATTATTCCATGAATACTGTGAGGATTTGCTTTCTTCACTATGCACAGATTTGGTAGTTTCTTTAAATAGAGCATCCAAGGAAGCCTGTTGCGTTTTAGAAAGCTTGGCACCTTTCATATCTAAGACTTTATGAAATTCAGTTATAGTAGATTCCGGTAGTAACTGCACGAATTGAGCTACGAAACCTTCCATACTACCATCTATTGGCGCCATCACCAGTTTCAATATCATTTCAGCTTTTGTCATTAGTTTTATAACAACCTTAGTATACATAGCTGGTGCTGGACGTTTCACTTCAGAACCGATAGATGGCAGCTCTAATAGAGCAGTTTTTAACATATGAGTATCTAAAAGTAATTGTTCGGAACCTACTGTGGAAATGGGCTTGCACTTGTAAATGTTCTGAATGAATTTCGGTATGAAAGAGTTCGCGAATCGTATGCAAAACTGTGTGAAGTATTTTCTTGAGGACGCCAAATTATCCCTCAAATACGGCACTGTATTCTTCAAGTGCATTATTATTTGAGTGACATAGGAACTCTGATCCCCAACGTTATCGAAACTTAGCCAGGATATCTTCGTCATAGCTTGGAGTGCCGGCTCGCATGCCAACTCTAAGTCCTGAACCAACATTTGTATGCAATTATTGATCATTTTGTGAAACAGATCTTGCTCGGGCGTTAAATCTATTTTATTTGAGAGATTCTTGGCTACTTTCTCCTTGAGTTTTTGTTCTAAATGTACAGTCGTTTCCAGACAGTATTCCGACGTTGTTATAACACTTGTGATCTTGCATATCTCTTGTTTCGTGTACCTTAGAGAAAAGATAAATAGATTCATTAGTTAATACTGCCCGCATATAAATGCCTGAAAAATAGGCGCGTTTATCTTGGGATAAACGCTACTATTTTCCAGGCTGAAGTATACGCCATTTTAGAATGTGTGGAAGCTAATCGCCAACAAAACTACATAAATCAAACCATTTACATATACTCTGATAGTCAAGCAGCACTCAATGCCATACATTCGAGCGTGATAAATTCGAAACTGGTAAAGGACTGTATTGACAGATTGAATGAACTGGGGCAAAAGAATAAAATTCATCAGCAATGAAAAAGCGGATGAATTAGCAAGGGCTGGAGCACAGAGACTACAAATAGGACCAGAGCCCTTTTGCGGTATCCCTAAAAAACATGTGATGCAAATTCTAAACAATGACCTGCAAAGGGATTCAAAAAAATACTGGCAGAAACAGCCGGTCATTCACAAAAACTAGCTGAAGAGCTCTTGAAGCTAAAGAGAGCAAATATAAGCTCAATTGAACGAGCCTTATCTGGATACTGCAAATTAAACAGACACCTATTTAACATGAAACTAAGTGACACTAACATTTGCAGATATTGCAAACAGGAACGTGAAACACCAAAACATCTCCTGTGTGAATGTGGACCACTGATCCACAAACGAAGCATACATCTGGGACGACATATAATCAGCCCAGAAGATATAAAATCTCTAAAAGCCAGGAATATAATAGATTTTTTGAAGTCTGCCGGGCTAAAGGAGTTACAATAGATCTGTCGGCGAGTCACAATAGATCTTCAAGGTCGCAGTGATTGCAGTTCACTGAGGAACTGAATCACCCCTTACAGCAATAAATAATAATAATACTAAAGGATGATGATTAATTACGTAAAATTATTAAGAACATAAGGAATGTTTTTCTACATTTTTACTATTTTAAAATGAAGAATTCTTATTATTCAGATTGCTAGCATCGACGGTTTTAATTAGTATAGAAATTACTTAACCTTAATCAGTCTTATTTGCTATAAAGTTAAAACTCTATCTTAGGCCTTGTTCAGGAGCGAAGACGCGATTTCAAGTTCAATGTGTTTCAAGTGCAGAAAATTGAAGGCCCCTAAACTAACCCTGTATTAAAATTAAAATAGTCACCTAGCATTGGCTGTGTCGTCTTTGAGTAACGTATGAAGATTGGATACGAGAGTGGGTACGGCAACCCCGCTACCGCTCCCGCTGCCTCCACCGTTCCGCGGCAAAGCAGCCGCTAGCACTGAGGACGCGTACTCTCGAAGATATTTCTGGAATACTCCGGCCAACTCTAATCAGAAAAATATACTTTCAGTGATAAAACTTTTACATGCATATAAATGCTCCGTTTTTATCTATATATTAATACGTGAATCAAAAACTTTCAATTGACGGAGGAGTATGAAATTTGGCACACTTATAGTTTATACGTAGGAGAAGCGCAAACGGCTTCAATAATAATGCTTATAAAGTACATTAAATTGATAAATAAAACATCACACACTACTATGCATTTGACACACAAAAAAGTATTAGCTACAGGCATACATATACTCTGTGGTCAAATTGTTTCTTTTAACAAAGAGTTTGTTTGTTTCTTTTGAATATTGGCTTCACACGGTTTGTGCATTTAGCCAGTGTCAAATTTTATATGATATCATATATATCTATTTACGAGGGCGGGATGCTAAATAGCTAGCCTAGCATAGAATAACTTGAATTAGTGTGTTAAAAGTATATTTATGTTTCGACATAGTCTCCTTGAAGCGCTATGCACTTCATCCATCTATGCTCTAAAGCCTTGATGCCATCCCTGAAGTGTTTTTCTTCAAGCCCTTCAAAATAACTGTCCACGGCAGACATCACCTCGCTACTATTTTCAAATCTTTGTCCACCTAAAAAATTTTTGAGCTTAGGGAATAGATGAAAGGCAGATGGTGCCAGATCAGGAGAATAAGCTGGATGTGGTAGCAAATCACAATTTAATTCTTTGATTTTCGCCATCGCAGTGATGCACGTGTGAACGCGCGCATCATACTGTTGATAGATTATTTTTTTCTTTTAGCCAGGCCGTGTCTTTTTTCACGAATACACACTTATAATTTATCCAGTAGATCAGCATAATATTCGCCATTTATGTTTTGTCCTTTTGGAAGGTAATCAATCATCAATATACCCTTCGAATCCCAAAATACTGACGCCATGACTTTTCCCGCTGATTTCACGGCTTTTGCTTTCTTTGGAGCCGGGGATCCTTTTCCCGTCCATTGTTTAGAATGAATTTTTGATTCAGGTATATAGTGGTGAATTCAAGTCTCGTCTGTAGTAACAAACCGTCACAGAAAGTCAGTTGTATTGCACTTAAAGCGGTCCAAACATTCTTGTGAAATTTGCATACGAACGCGTTTTTGGTCAACTGTAAGCAATCGCGGCACCCACCTTGCGGGTAACTTTTTCATACATAATTCTTGAGTCTAAATGTAATGCGCCCGTTCTTCGTTCGCAAAATGTCATAGCAGTATCAGCTATCTCGGAAAATTCCAATCTTCGGTCAGCTAAAACTGTATCATGAATTTTGATCACAATTTCTGGAGTAGTGGCACTTTTTGGACGTCCTGGACGATGTTCATCTTGGGTGCTGGTACGGCCACGTTTAAATTCAGCCACCCAATTTTTTACGGTCGCATATGAAGGAGCATTTTCTCCCAAAATTATTATTGAAGGAGCATTTTCTCTGCGGCTAGTATTCAAGATATTTTTATTCTACTAAAGAGAGCTGTCCGTGCTATATATAATTTACGGTATAGGGAATTTCTCAGAGAAATATTTAAAGAAATAAATATTTTGACTGTTGCCCTTCAATACATCTATGAAAACATTACGATTCCTTCACTAAAAAGTAGTGTTCATATTCTTATCACAAGAAATAAAAATAAACTTGCTGTTCCAAGCTTCAGACTTCAAAAAACCAGAGGATCATTTCTAGGTAAATGCACTGCTATGTTCAATAAAGTTGCACAAATGATCACCCATAAATAAATTTAAAATTCATATCAAGAACATACTTATGAGTATTAGGTGAATTTTTCCTCATACCATAATGCTCTTATTTCCCCAACAATGTTTCATGACTAACGCAGTCTAATGCTTTTGACAGATTGCAAAAATTGCCGACAGCATTTTGTTTATTCTCCCAAGCATCATAGATATGTCTCAGAAGTGCAATTCCAGCGTTTGTGGTACATTTACCTCTGCTAAAACCAAAGTGATTTTTATGAAGTAATTTATTTAACGAAAAGTGTGCAAGCAGTTGATTGTAAATGATTTTCTCAAATACTTTACTTAGCGCTGGTAGTATAGATATTGGTCTGAAATTACTGTAATTAGATTAACATGTCTAAAATAAAAGTCAGTATTGCACTTATCAACAACTGACTCTAGATGAGTAACCGCAAGTCTAGAACATGAACTAAGATTTAAAGTGATTTCTATTGGTGTCTTAGAAAAGAATTTCTCAAACGTATCGGCAACCGCTTTATTTGTTTTAAATAATACCTAACATATTCAATAAACTTTGGATCAGTCGAGGTACACTTTAGCCCATACAAATCATACAGCCTATTTGGACTTTTGTAGATGCCAGGTGTAGCCCAATCACAAAATTTCTCCTTTTGGTTAATAAACTGAGTCTTATTTTTCGTTTGCAGAAACACTATTTTCAAATTTATCTAAATTACTTTTGATAATAGGTCTACAAATTATATTGCATTTAGGAGAAACATGATGGTGCTCCAAAGTTGCTAGAACTCCGCTATAGTCAGATCGAATACAATTTATTATAGACTTTTCAAACACTTTTTACATTTACAAAAAAAAAATATTATCTAAGCAAGTAGCAGATGTGGGTGTAATGCGGGTAGGTTCATTAAATATATTTTTTAAATTAAAACAATTAAACAAGTTCAAAAATCTACTTGATTTAGTACATTTTATTAAAATATCTATATTAAAATAACCACATATCACTACTTACTTATCCTCCATAGCAGATTCAATAGACAGTAGTCCCCATTAAGTGGTCTATATACACATATAATAACATACTGTTCAAGTTCCACACATGACAATTTAATGTCACTCGATGATACTATACTCAAGAGGGATACTATATCTTTGCGTTCTTTACATGTTAAATAATTATTTATTATCATTAAAGACCCTCCGTAGTGCATTTATTATACAGAATGAATTTATCATTTTATAAGTTTTTAAATCTGTAATCCATTGAGCCAGTGCTCTGTAATAAATATTATATCAATATTCATGGTATTCAAACATGTTTATAATTCTAGATCTTTTACAGAAAACTCTTGTATATTTTCGTGAACAATTGTTAAGTAGGTATTTTTCCTTGGTCATCTCATTGCTAGAGATTTTCTCTATTGTCTTATATTAGTAATTCCCGAGTAATATTCGCGTAATGATATAATACTATTTTTGTGCGTCGCTTCTATTTGACTAGATTCTGACATCATAAATCTGGAGACATTTCAATATATTAGGAGCATTTAGTTCATATAAGTAATCAATATAATACGAGGGTCAAACTGAAAGTTCTTAGAAAATCAAAAACTGATTACATTAGCCAGTTATTAGTTTTATTATATCTTTTCAAAATATTGTCCATTCACGTCAATACACCGCTGCATGCGATGGAACCACTGGGAAAAGCACTTTGCCCACTCGTCCTTAGGGGTCTCTTCAATGGCATCGCGATACGCAGCCACCGCTTCTTCAGCATTCATAAACCGCTTTCCTTTAAGTTTTTCTTTAATTTTTGGAAATAAATAAAAATCACAAGGCGCGAGGTCGGGGCTATACGGCGGGTGACCCAGTAATTCAACGTTTGATGTCGCCAAATAGTCGATCGTTCGCTTGGCGGTGTGCGACGAGGCGTTGCCGTGGTGAAAGAGGATCCTACTGCGAGGTCGTTTCTCTCGAACTTTTTCCAAGACAAGTGGCAAACAATTGGTAGTGTACCATTCTGCAGAAACTGTTTTTTGATCCTCTAACACAATTGTTGCAAAATGATCTATCCTTCCAAAGAACGAGGCCACCATTTTTTTTCCCGCACTTCGATCTCTCTTCACTTTAGTTGGCAACTCCTCGAAAGGAAACACCCACTGAGCAGATTGTCTTTTGGTTTTAGGATCATAACAGTAAATCCAGCTTTCGTCACCTGTTAGTATGTCGAACACAGCATTTGAGTCACCTCCGTTAAATCTTTCAATCATTTTACGACACCAATCCACACGATGGAGTTTTTGAGCCTCAGTCAAATTATGAGGTATCCACCGGGCGCAAAGCTTCCTGACCGCTAAATGTTCGTGGAGGATTTTGTGCACTTGACTCATACCGATGCCTAAGCTTGTCCGAATCTGTTGATAGGTCACTCTTTTGTCAGTCTCTATCATACGCCGCACAACACAGATGTTATCTTCAGTCGTCGCCGTAGAAGGCCGTCCCTCACGTAAATCATCAGTGAGATTAGTGCGACCACGTTTAAACTCATTAAACCAGTTGTAAACAGTCGCACGAGATGGGGCTTCATCGTGAAAGGCCAATCGTAGTCTATCATAACTTTCTTGTTGACTTAAATGACATCGAAAGTCATAAAAAATCATTGCACGAAAATTTTCTCGTGTTAAATTCATGATGACGTGACACAGACAATTTTCAATTTGCCGCCAAATCGTAAAACAAATGACAAATGAATGAAATATATACTCAGTAATATTGGCAAAGAGTTATATTTTCAAATTTTAGAATTATTTTTTTATTATATTGTTTATAAGTGGCCAGTTCTAAGAACTTTCAGTTTGACCCTCGTACAATACATTATAGTATACAAACCTAACATGGGCTCGCCAGTAGTAAGTCTAGCACATTGCACTAAACACTTCTTATAGAACAGGAACAGATCCCCGCATGACGCCATTACTGCGCCAGCGCCTGATCCTATCCCAGCGCCCGCGTCCACTGACTTAGCGTCCTTAAAATAAGTAAATTTATTACCAAGAATTCCAATCACATACATACTAAGTAAAAATTAATAAAAATAATATTAATACCTATTCATTTCATAAAAAATATTACGAAACTCTGTTTTTTTTTGGTCCATCATTCACGGAAGTGGATTAAAATACTTTAAGAGTGTAAGTTGAGACTACAGCGTTTATCATTACAAAATTTTATAATGTAACAAATCTATATGAAACGATGATTGCATTGCTCGATGGTGCCCCTTTCCTTATATTATTAACTAGCTTTCGTCCAGCGGCTTCGCCCGCGTGGACTTGTATAATACATAAAAAACTTCCTTTTGAATCACTCTATCTATGAAAAAAAACCGCATCAAAATTCGTTGCGTAGTTTAAAGATTTAAGCATACATAGGGATATACGGACAGAGAAAGCGACTTTGTTTTATACTATGTAGTGTTAATATGATATTAAAATTATCATCATACTTGTAAAAAAATATTGTACAAAACTTTACTGACGGCTAAATTTATAATAATTTATTAACATTAAAAAAAAATGTTAATTATTAGAGTATCATATAACATTCCATTATTTCATTACATACCTGAACGAATCTATCCATGAAAGATCGCAAGTTGGCATCGAGACTGTGTATATACAACGACAAGTGAGGCTCGAAGCACGCCCCTATAGAACGGACCCAAGCTGACTCATCCCCACCCTCATCACCCCCCACTTTTGTGTCTACTATTTCATTTGTGGATTCATTCTGGAAGAAAACGAACATTAAATAAGAGCTAACAACCTCGCTTTAGCTGCATTGGAGAGCAGGTTAGGAATTTGGAACAGTTTCTTAATCGGGGCTGGATTTTAGTAACGACATTAAAATTGGCAATGTTTTGATAATACAATATACAGTGTTATTAGTAAAATACGAGCAACCTCGCAGCTAATATCATAAACAACTAATTTTAATTTACGATTTTATCTATAACCATATTTGATTATCTTTCATTTACGCGTAGTCCATCAACTTTTTTATTCTTCAATCCGTTCACAACTATAGGCTATGAACTACCTCGATATTAAAATTATTATTTTATTGTAAAATCAATAAAATACAAACTGCAATCACATTACGGAGTAAAGAAACTACCCTCTACGTTGGCCCAATGCGGATTGGAGGGTGTTAAAGATTGCAAATACAGCCGAGACCAACGGCTTAACGTGCCTTACGATGCCATAATAACATTAACATTAAAAGAATTTATTGATTGCAAGATATTTGGCGTTTTACAAATAACCCTGTATAGTTTTGATACGAACATTTGGTTCGATTAATTCTGATCAATCATCTCTCTCTAATACCGACGATTACAATCGCAGCATAATAAGTTTAATAGAATTTTTACTGTTTTGCTAGCCATACTTTATATAACTTACCTCTTTGCCTTCAGATTCAAATCCATCTTGCTTATCCAACGCCGATGGATCCATATTCTCAGACCCTAAATCTGTTCCTATAACAATAAGTTTTTTATAAATAACATAAAAATTCCAACATTCTCGGTTTACTATTTTTTGACGTCAGAATTATTTTACTTCAACAGATAGTTCTATTAATTATAATGGATATATCGAAAAATAAAAAAAAAACAAACAATAAACTAAACACACAGCGGCATTCGCTTTGTAAAGTTACTTATGACAGTTGTCACCTGCGAGATACGGACACTAGAAAAATATTAATTAGTAGATTTGCGAACCGAAGGCGTACTTTTCGACATTCACAAGTGCCAGTAACAAGCTAGACTTAATAAATTAATTATATTGAATTTGAATCTGAATTGAATTGAATTTGAATATGATTTCTGATGAATCTAATCTATGAGATAAGTGACTATATTCTGAAACAGATCTTTTATTTTACAGTAATGTTAATGGCATATTCACTGTTTTAATTTGAAACAACTGAGGCACTAGCTTACAAGCACTATCTTGCTATTTTGACTTGAAAAACTTGTCCGGTGTATTCCAGATATAAGTGATAAACTCACCAGTAAATCTTTTGTGTAGTAACAATTCGAAGTTGTACGTCTTCTGTATTGCGTAAAGTAGCAATTTCACGTCGAGTTCGCTTCGACGCGCCGCCATCATGGACGATAATTCACCACGAGTTATCTATACAAATATACTGTATAATTGTTCAGTTAAATGTTGACACAAAATGTCTATCTAAATATATTCGGGCTAGATAACCAGCAGAGTAGGTAAAGAGAAATACGAAAGCCACAGTACAACTAGATACGGTTGCGAAAATGTCCGTACAGCGTCGTACAGATGCGAAATCGTCCGTATAACTGCGAAAACGTCCGTACAGCTGCGTACAGATGCGAAATCGTCCTTACAGCTGCGTATGGTTGCGAAAATGTCTGTACAGCTACGTATGGATGCGAAACTGTCCGTACAGCTGCGTACGGATGGGAATGCCTCTGTGAATGGGGTTATCGGCATAATACTAACTAATTTGCTACTTTATAATTGGTAAAAGTATGAAAGGCGAAAATCTAAATGTGCAATGATCATTACAATATTAAAACACAAAAAACTATAATGTCACAACGTTAACATATAAAACACAAAAACATACAAAACTAATTTTGAAGAAATTAAATAGCACCTTAAGTGCACTTCTTCCTCATAAAAACTTTAAATGTGACTAATTTTATAAGTCCTCAATCTGCTCAATATTCATACTAACATAATGATAGCAAGATTGATGATTTGAACTTGCGGGCATACCGTGTTTTTTTTTAGTTTTTTCCATTGAATATAAATAAATAGATAATAAATATTTAACAACATCACATACATTGCTCAGATTCCAAGATGAGTAGCTAAAGCCCCCGTATTATGGAGTATCTGAGACAACGAAGGTACCACAACACCCAGACCCGAGTCAATATAGAAAAGTTCATTTTCTACATTGACCCGACCGGGAATCGAAACCGGGACCTCAGAGATGGCGACACCTTGAAACCGGCGTGCAAACCACTCGGCTACGGAGGTAATACATCATATCACGGCTTTTAAAACGCCAAAAGTAAGCCCTGATAGATCTGCCTGGCGTATCAATCTGATCGCTCTGTTAGGTACTGAGGCAATGGAGCTAAAAAGCTTTTACAATCAAATCAAGCTTTTAAATAGCAAAATGTATGAATAGTCACATGGTAGGCCCGCTAATGTATATAGTTATAACTTATTACCTGACAGAACTGTCTGGCTATCCTTTCGCTGAGCTTCCATGACATCGGAAACATATTTCCAAGTGTATCTTCGAAGGTCAACAAGTGTCTCTTGAGCCACGCGTACCTTCTTTCCACGTGTGGTAGCCAAGCGCACTCTTGTTCAGCGGAAAATAGATGTTGGTATTCCTATACGATAAATACAAGTTTTTCATTTGATTTGATCGATTATTATTTAAACTAGGCGTGGATTCAGATCTTAAAAATGTTTGTGGTAACGGTCAGAGCCCGCTTAAGAATTCAAATGGTCTGGTAAAAAAAAAAATATTTCGCCGTTTTAAGGGATTACCCAGTTTGGAAGGAACACTTGGAACTCAAATCGATGGCATTTTTATAATAAAATTGTGACAATGTAGCATATAGACATAGATTTTTGGAAAATGTAACTATTAACGACATTGAAATAAGATTCAAACTTACTTGGAGCTGCATCCCAATGAACCACTGTAGTAATTCTCGTTTGACTTTAGGATCTAGTATGTCCACTACCGCGCACGCTTCCGACAATGTCTTGTGAGAAACCGTACTTTTACTCCCAGCTACGAAACAAGATAAATCTTTAAAAACAACAGTCATGTCTATCTAATACATAACGGCATTATCAATAGAGCAATGCTCTTCTAGGGCAGTTCGTAGGTCTGTTTATTTCAATAGAAATTCATATACGCATAAAAATGAATCGCCAAAATGTATGTAAAGTAAGTATAGATAGTTCAACTCAGTTGTGCGCGTGGCCCTATGTGTGGGTAAACCTTGTACATATACAGTGACTTTGTGCGCGTGACAAGAGGTACAGTCGGGTACAAATACAATTACAGTTATTTACGGGTTCTTAAAAAAAAACAATAATTTGGTAATTTAATTTTTATTTATGGAACATTATTCTGATTCGCTACTTGAAAAATCAAATGATGAATTTTCGGATTCACTGCTCTCACCAAAGTTAATTATTAATTTTGACTCCATGTCAAAATGTCGATAGTATTCTTCTTCTTTCTTTCCTACATGTCGACAAGTATTACCCCACATCTCTTCATCAATTTGACTTAAACGTTCATGTATAAGTTTCATTAGTCCCGTCACGTTTTGTTCGACATTATACGAAGCAATAATTTTTTTTAAAATACCCCACACATTTTCTATGGGGTTTAATTCAGGATGATATGGGGGCAGTCGAAGAACTTTTATGCCATATGGCTGAAGTATGTCGTCAATTTTATAACAGATGTGGTTTTCTTTATTTTTTTAATCAAATCGTACAGTTCAATTTTTTTCATATATTGATCAAAAGCTATATTTTTTTCTGACAGCCATCTCTGCATTTCTATTTTTTTGGAATTAGAATTTGGAGCTCTGTCATTTTGAACATTATGGTATGAGGCATTATCAAGCACAACCACAGAGTTAGGTGGAATATTCGGTACGAGATGTTCTTTTAGCCACTTTTCATAGTTTTCTGTGTTCATGTTAGAGTGGTAATCACCAGAAACACTATTTGCTTTGTATGTTAATAGTGCGTTAGGTACGAAACCTTGTTCTGAACCAGCGTGCACAATGATAATTCTTTGTCCTTTCGACAGGTTTCTCTTTAAAGGTGGTCCATCTTTATTACCCCATCCTTTGTTTTGTACGTGATTAGTTAATATATAGCTCTCATCTGTATATACGATACACCGATTTTCTTGACGGTATCTGAGTAAGTTTTTCAGGTAAGAAAATCGTAGTTTTTGGATGTCATGTCGCTCTATAATAACACGTCTGTTATCCACAGTTTTTCGCCATTTGTATCCCAACTTTAACAAAGCTGTACGCAGAGTCGAAATACTTCCATCATAATTAAGTTTATCTTGAAATATTCTTTTCAACTTTAACAAGGTAGGTAACTCGCGGTTTTCTTAATGGTAATTTTGAATAGTGGAACGTATAACAGCAACGTTGAAGTTGTCTAATTCTAACTTCATTAAACGTTTTTTACGATCTTCATGCGGAGATTTAAATTTAGAGTTAGATTCTTTTCCTTCAGCCAATATATTAGTTATTGTTCTCTCTGATACCCCCACTGCCATTGCTGTTCTTTTTCGTACGCTATTTAAATGTTCACTTAATTTAGATATTAAAATTGGACTTGCACTGCAAACTGGATCACTTACTAGTTCAAATATATCTGTCTCATCTTTTTTCAGAAATTTGTATACCTTAGCAATGGTTTCTCGAGTCTAAAACAATAATACGCAAATGTCAACAAGGATATATTTTTTCGTACATAGAATCATGATAAATAATATATAAATTTTATCTAAATTTAAAATCAAAAATATTTACCTGATTCCTTAAACATTTTCTCCGTGAAGAACTAGACATTTTTGTTAACGACTGTACCCGTAAGAAAAAGCGATAAGAACACGTCTTGCTCGGACGACGACTGCCGCGTCACTGCCTCACAAATGAAAGTTGTATATTTACAAACGCACGCACACATAGCGCTGCGCGCACAACTGAGTTAACATATCTATAGTGTCCGAACGAAACTGGTTTTTACGACCATAACCGAACGGAATTTCAGCAACAGTTTCGGCCGAAACCGAAACTTCCTTACGAGGATCATGTTTTGAAGAAAAAATAAAGAAAACGTAATTATAATCAGTCACTATTTTTTATCCAACTGCAAAGGAAGGGTTTTGTTTTTCGCGTGTATTATCCTTTATTATCTCATATCTCCAAAACTGTTAAAAGGATTTACATATCCTTTTTAGCAATCCAAGTATCCAAATAGATAGATGAGGTTAAGGAAAATCGAACAAGGCGACGCCATTACACTTATAAAAAAAATTGAGTACTAAATATGGATCGAATTAAAAGGTTTAACACAAGAATTTCAAAAAGGTATACAATGATTATAAATAGCGTAATACTAATAAAAATAATATTTTTAAATATGAACTTCCTCGCTTCCATCCTATACTCCATTCACTATAACATTAGAAAAAAGAGGGTCATAGAAGCAGCAGTGCAGAACAGTTTATTTTCAAGATAAATTAAAAAAATCTATATTAGTTTTGTTGAAACTTTGAACGTTAGGTAGTCTGAAAGAGCTGGGCAATTTTCCATTTTTTATGATACCTCGGGGTTGAGATGAGGCCAGCATTTTATAAATTCATCTTTAGTCCCAAGCCAACATGGAACTAAAACTGAAACTATCTGTGTGTTTTGATAAATTCTAATTGAAAGTGTAATAAGTTAGACTATTGATGAAGACATTGGAAAAACTCCCTGAAATATCAAAGTTTGAGGGTAGGTATGGGGGCTTAGAGCGTAATTTTTGTAGGCCACTCGGGCCTGTACCGGCATCGTCCATATTTACCAAAACTTAATAACAAAAATAAAACAATAACATCACGGAAAACGGCTAAACAACAAGAAAGGCAGTAGCATTCACAATGGATGACAATCCCAGATTACGATTTTAACAATTATGAATAAATAATAGTTTGACAAAATCAAAAAGCTGTACTACCGAAACGCTTGAAGGGGTTAGGCAACGTTTTAAATTTGGTAGAGTTATAGTGACATGAGAATCGTGCCGAAACTATCCAACCCTGCTTATTTAGGTTCTTTACGATGGACACTTTTTATTGTAATACTTATTAAATCATTTAAGTTAGTCATATACTCATAATTTTGTTTAATAGTTAGCTTAAATGACAACAGTTAAGTATAGCAGCTGATATTTAAGTGAATATGTAGCAAATTAGCCGTCAGTCTTAAAAGTAACATGATTATTGATATTTTGTCACAAAGTATACCATAAAAAGAACCTTATTTCACTTCTGTCTAATGCTATAATGAATGGAGTATAGTAATTTGTTTAACTAATAATAAGACAAATAAAATATTTTTTATTTAAGTTCCAATCTTTTCACTTGATTTCAAGCAGGTGGGGTTTTTTTTTTCTTTTAATTACAAATCTATGCAGTCTTCGACATTTTCATTTATTATTACAAACTTATGAGAACTATTTATTACAGTCGAATTTTCTGAAACTGTTCTGTAAATGCTCAATTATAACGTATTCTATTGAGGTTACCAAACCTAAACTGTTGTTCTATATTTCAAGCCTAAGTTCTGTATAAGTAGTAAGCAAAAGAAAAGGCTCCCATATAGTTAGAAAATTGAAATTGAATAGCAGTGGCAACACTGACGACAAAATGTCAAAATGTTATTTGTGAAAATTAAAAATTTTTTTATTTAACAAACTAGCTTTAATAATGTTTTATTTTCAAAAATGTGAATGACTTAAGTGTGAAACTTAATATTCTTTCGTATTGTGTATTTGTGGAAGAGAATCGTATTTTATCCACTGTTTTTCTTCGTTTTTGAGGAGCATTTTTTTGTACTTTCTCGGCGGAAGTTGAATGAGTATTGAAGTGAAAAACAAAAAACTAAGACAAACGTCTTAGTTCTAGTAACTTCAGATTTTTGGTATGTATTGCGTATCCAGACATATTAATATCAATGATTTCTAACACTGAAAAAGTAAAGGTATAGGCTATTTTTTAACCTATGTAAACGTGCGGTTTCCGTGGTATATATGGGCAGAAAGCTGTTAGGTATTAAACGATTTTCTAAGTGAACTATTTTTTTATGCTATAATTGCTGTAGTAATCTTGGCGACTACATGTCACCTACACAGAGCAACATAAAATAATAAAAAAAGAAAGTAATTACCAGTAAAGGTTTCTTTGAAATCTGCGAGGATTTGAGTGGCCAGTTGGCTACGTATTTCGTATACCTGGTCACGTAGCGTGCTCAACTCCCGGATCTCACGGTACGACTCGAAGTGCTGTAACACCTGTAAACAAGAAACGTCGACTTAAAATCGGGATACATACCTATACAAGATATTAACAATTGATCATATCCTTAGTTCAATCATCTAAGACTGCCAACTAGTTTATAATAAATAAATAAATATTAGACAATATCACATACATAGTTCAGATTCAGAATGAGTAGCTAAAGCATCCGTATCGTGGAGTATATGAAACCAAAGCATCCAAATCCGGGGCAATATAAAAATTTCATATTCTATGTTTACTTCACTGGGAATGACACCTTGAAACCAGCGTCGAAAAGCACTCGGCTACGGACTATCGGATAATGGCAAGATATGACATTAATTTCATTGTATTTTTTTTATATTAAATAACGATAAATACATGAGTCCAGCATTAAATTTACGATTAATTCCAACCGCGGCAGAAATATTACTTTTTACAACTGCAGATCCAGCCAAGATAAACAGCTTGACTTGCTTTACGAATCAAAGAGGAGGCCGAGATAATAAATTTGTCACTAATTTAATGGCCAGCCTTTAACAAAGTTGTTAATTTCCACAATTGCAGAACTAACGCGCAAGCATTACCTCCATAATGGCTTGCATCGGTAATGCTAACTCCTTATACTGTCTAGCGGCTGTCATCTGTCGTAACGCACCAACCCCACCCACTAGCATGTGCAAGTGGTTGAGTGCAGTGATGGCTCCAGTTAAGTTCCATTTAGCACAGTCCAGTTGTTTAATTTCTAACGTTATCTCACGAACCATGCTCTCACTGCGTTCAGCTTTCTTGTTTATATCAGCCACCTAATAAAAAAATAAATTAATTAAATGAGATAATACATCAGATTTTGAAGCAGAGTTATTTATTTGGACAGGAAAAAAAACAGAACTGATTTGGCTCATTGATGTACCCGTGGAGAAAGCTAAATTCCGGAGGTGGTAGACGTGATGATCTGAAGTGATGAAACATATAAATTCCATATAAAATAACAAATTGCATATCGTTATTACGATATATTGGTAAATGTATCATAAAACAACATAAATAAAATAAATATTTAAAACAACATCACATAGATTGCTCAGATTCCAAGATGAGTAGCTAAATTATGGAGTATCTGAGGTAAAGAAGGTACCCCCGTATTGTGGAGTATCTGAGGTATAGAAGGTTCATTTTTTACATTGACCAGACCAAGAATCGAACCTGAGATGGCGTTATCGAACCTTGATCTATCGTGTCAAATTTTATTGTTCGTCTGCTTTCTGTAAATAATTCAATAGTCAATTAGAAAATTCTTTTGTATTGGAACATAATTTTTTTAACCTGTAGAGCTAATTCAGCAATACAACGCTGTGCTTCTAACAACGCCGCTTGCCCTGCAGCACGCTGCTCGGCTTGGGCACGAACTAGACGCCTTATATCCTGTTCTACACCTGTTGGGAAGAAACACTTTATAACTAACTAAAAAATAATATATCAAACTATTTACTTAATATCGTAAATACCAACCATTTCAACAATCAAACCATGAACTGTCATCCTATAGATTTCACTCAGACTGTCAAGTGAAATGTAAGTGAGACTTTTCAATTGTACTTCTATTTTATTAAAATAAAAAAAGCAAGATATTATATTGCAACTGTTTACAGTTATACCAAGTGAACTATAGCAGGGTCCACACACTACATTGCTTCTGATCTGGTTGACATTGAGTTCCATCAAAATCCACTATACTCCATTAATTATAGCATTAGACAGAAGTGAAATAAGGTTCTTTTTATGGTATACTTTGTGACAAAATATTAACAATCATGTTACTCTTAAGACTGAGGGCTTATTTGCTACATATCCACTTAAATACCAGCTGCTATACTTAACAGTTGTCGTTTAAGCTATCTGTTAAACAAAATTATGAGTATTTGACAATCTTAAAAGATTAATAACTTTTACAATAAAAAGTGTCCATCTTAAAGAACCTGAGAGACAGGGTTGGATAGTCTCGGCACGATTCTCATGTCACTATAACTCTACCGAATTTAAAACGTTGCCTAATCCCTTCACATGTTTCAGTAGTACAGCTTTTTAATTTTGTCAGATTATGATGTATTCATAATAGTCAAAATACGTAATCTGGGATTCTCATTAATTGTGAATGTTATTGCCTTTCTTGTTGTTTTACTGAATTCCGTGATTGACTTGTTATTGTATTATTGTTGTTTTCTTATAGTTTTGTTTTAGTTGTTATCTTTTTGATGTTAAGTTTTGCTAAATATAGACGACTCCGGTGCAGGTCCGAATGGCCTACAACATCAATAATCTAATAATATCTGAATAAATATTATAAAAGTAATAATAAAAATTTATAACTATATAATATTCTAAATTCTATTCTAATTATACATTTACAATTAGAATTTATCAAAACAAAAATCAAAAGAACAGAAAATCCTGTCCTCATCTTAACCCCGAGATATCGTAAAAAATGGAAAATTGCTCTTTCAGATTACCTAACGTTCAAAGTATCAACAAAACTAATATATATATTTTTAAATTTTATCTTGAAAATAAAATGTTCTGCACTGCTGCTTCTGTGATCCTCTTTTTTCTAATGGTATATTGAATGGAGTATAATTATATTGAATTTTTAGTACATTTTGATTGAATCTAATGTTAATAAAATTGAAACAATTGTATTTATGTATTAGCAATAATACAAGAGTATTAGAAGTTATAAAAACAGCATATTATTGCTTTTACTTGTCTTTTATACCATCCCAGAGTTCTATACTAAAAGAATGTCTATGAGAAGGGGTTAGTAGGTACTAATATGACTGTCTATCTGCAAATCTACTGTATAAACGATCACAGTCTGACAGATCATTCAAGCCTTTATTTTGGCAGATACCAATTTTTTACCTATTTCGTTTAGGTATACTACAGAGGTTAATTAATATTTAAACCAAATGTGTGAAGTTAACCTGAGAGACGAAACTCGCATCTAGCAGCTGCACTCTCTACACCAGACAATGATTGCTCTGTTGGAAATACTCTGTTTATGTATGCTACTGCATCAAACTGAAACAATAAATTTATTTACAGACTAATTAATAAAATTATATAACTATAAAAGGAACAAAAATTATTTGAAAGTAACTATAAATTGTTTATCCAACAATAGTTTTGCGAACCATTTTCGTAGTTTTTGACTTGACAATTATAAGCCTAGATTGAATAAACAATTCTGATTTGACAACAATGACAAAATGTACAAAGCTTATGTGACTAAATTTTAATTAGTTTTAGGATAGTAAAAATGGATACTAGAAATTTAGAAAATTATGATTTAAGTGCTAAACTGGACTATTTGATGCATGTATTATTATAAGGTAGAATAACCTTGCTATGTGGCAATATGAAATAAGTTCCTCTGAATTCATGGTTCAATTTTTTTTTATTTCTTAAAATACTTTTGCTATACAGCAACAATGGTTCTGCCCGCAGTTAGGCATGGTGGGATACTTACTCCACCTTTAACCCTGCATTAAAGCCAACTGTATGATGTAACAAAATTTAAAATGATTTGATATAAAAACTGAATTTTAGCTAGCTGTTGCCAGAACACAAACTGATTATTATTGAAATAAGGTCATTATTATAGCCTTTGAAATTCACATTATTATTCCAGTTTTTTTACTTTAGCCTCACTCCTAAGTAAATGCAACGCCCGTGGAACAATCTTAAATTCGGTGAAATTATTAGATATAGACACAGCAGCACATCAGGTAAACAAAGGGCAATATAACAACATTTTTTGATTTTGGGTTAACATACCTCGTCACTATCAAACTGTTCAGTTCCACCCATCAACTCCTCGATACGGCTAATCACAGAGTTAGGGAGGTTGATTTGGACTTCTGGCCCACTGTCTTTATCGTCTAGGCTGTCGTTTGATTCCATTTTAGGGCACAAATTGTAAAGAATAAGTTTATAATGGCAATTTACTTAATAATATTATTACTAAGTTCAAGTGAGAAAAAAAAGCACCATCATATAATTTCCAAATCTTTAAATATAATATTTAATTTAAAGTTTAATAAACTTAACAGAAAAACCAAATTTTAACTTTCTATTCTACTTCTGACCACAGACCCAGAAGGAGATACTACTACCTACTACCACAGCCTACTACGTATCTATTGACACTGAGACATCACTGCAGTGACGTTTATTTGACAGTGACACAATAGACAGATATAATCGATATATCAAATATCGGTTTTGTCATAATTTAATCAATATTTTTTGGCAATAATTTTATATTTGGAATATTTAATATAGTCTAGTAATGTGTAAACATATGTTTTAGAACTTTCTTTATTTTAGAATACTTCCTTATTTTGAATAGGTATCTGATGGTGACTTTCTGGCACCAACAACTAAAGTATTTAGTTAATTCGACAGGTTTATAAAATACGTATAGATTTATAAGCGAACACGTTACATAAAGAGATTTTTAAATTACCTTTAAACAAAATACTTATTTTCTATTTGTGTATTTAACAAAGAAAGATCTTTGAATATATGGAATCATTTATAAATGACCAACTAAACATATCTTGACATAAAAACAATATATCGAGTGACTGTTATTAAGTGTAACGACCTTAACCAGTAGCGCGGTTAAGTCCTCGTTATATTAGATAATATAATTGATGAATTATAAAAACGTTAAGAATATTTAGTATCGTTTACTATTTTAATAAAATGGAAATATTTAACTGTAATTGAGATTGAAATATTTTTAAGAATGAAATTGATTATTTATGTGTAAGGGTATTTTGTATGTCAAACAAAAATTCCGCTTTGTTGCTTTCCTATTTCAATCTAATCCCAGTAAACAGCGATACTTAGTCAATTAACTTCCAGTATCTATAATAATAAGACATTTCTGTCCCCTCGTATCTTATTATTTATTTAGTACACCAACAATTGCCGCATTAATATAATTTAATTTACTGAAATAAATTAAATTTGCTAAATGTACAATCATTTACAAATGTATATAACATGCAAAAATGGAAACAAACATTTACTTAGACAGTTCATACAATTTTACTTCATTCAAACAACTAGGTGACAATCACAAATACATAGCTATTGGGAAAACAAGGAAAGCAATATAAAAGACTGACAATTATTTAGATACTATGATTACCTATATATACGTGTAGTTATTGTGATATACATGATATACAGTTGGGTGCATACTATTTAATAGTATTTTTCAGATCGATATGGTATCCATCTTGTTCATGCACATTCATTCAACTGTTATTAACATCTTACTCATGCATATTATGCTTTAGAGTTTCTTAACCCCGAAGGAAAAGGCGCCACAAAGATTATGGTGGGTCTCCATGAAATTGTCAAATCATGAGACAATTGATGAATCATTTTCGATGAAAAAGTTAAATAAAGTTTTTATAATATTAGTTTATATAAAATTAGGTTTTGTTTTATTTCAAGGCTTCGTGTAAAAAAAATATAAAAATAACTAAAATATATCATGAGCATATTTCACTATAATACATATATACAATAAATCCTGCTATTTTATTGTGTATTTAAAACAGTATCAAAAATATATATGTATATAAAATTGTCAAATGGGTCGATGTTCGTTAGAATAAGCATTGAAGTAAAACACATGAACTTTCCATTTAAGATTTAAATTTTATTTCATCATAAAGAGGGACCATTTAAAATTAATCAGTAATTGAAACTGTGACATTTCATATTAGCTTAGTAACTAATATCTTTATAACGATGCAGCATGTCCGTTAGCTACTAAAATGAACAGCCCTACTATCATCGAATGACAGCAATGACAGCTTTTTGCTCTAGAATTTGTTGCTGTTGGTTGATTCGTTCGCTCTTCGCTTGTCGTTGCGACAGTGTGTTTCGTTTGTCGATTTACGATAACTCGAAGAGATTGTGATACGGGAGCGTTTTGGTCATATTTTGCGGTCCAAATATCGTCTGCCTGCCAAGGTTGCGATAGTGTATTGGTTTTGAGTTGTTGCTATTTCCCCTGCACCAATTCATCTCTCTTTCCCTTTGCCAGAATGAAGCAAATGGGTGGTAAAATTATTAAGTTTGTGCCAGTCTTATAAGTCAGTGGTTACTTAATTCGTGAAATAATAAACAAGGTGCTGTGTAGTGAAAATGGCCCGGCTAACCGAGGAGATGGTGATTGCTCGCTCGAAACAATCGGATTTGTCGGCGATCAAAAAATTGAATTGCTGGTAAGTGCTCAGCTGCTTTCCTTTACTTGTAGGTATGCAGTTTGCTAGAGCATAGTCGGTCTCAAATTCTCGTAGTGTTTATAAAAAAAGTCAAAAGGTAAGTGATGAAATTCATAGCAAGTGCACAATTGAAACATTTCAAAACAACTAATAATGAACCATGATAGAGAAAGTTTATCTGAAGAAGTGTCCAAACAGTATTTCATATTGGTATTAGTCATCCTCTTAAAGCATTGTTATTATGTGCAACTATGATTTTATCTTCAAATAGAATTTCTTTTAATGCAAAGTTTCACATAAGATTCCAATAAGCCATTTACTGAACATCTTTGTAAACAATTTATGTAGGGCTATTATGATTTTAAAGTATGTTATAAAATCCCGCTAAATAAATGTTCTCTGTTCCTTCATCTTTTGCTGTCCAGCCTTAATTTTTTTTAGAAATATAGTACCAAATGAGTCTAGCCTTTTTTTAATTGTGGTTACACAGATTATTGTATACTTTGCAATCTTTGAATTGTATATTAATGATGTTTCCTAATATGGAAATGATAATTTATTCACTGTAGCAGTTAAGGCTATTAGGCCAATAAAAAAAAATCATGTTGCAAGAAAATGTAATTTCTATAGATGATAAATAAAATTCACCTCTGGAGTAAAATCTTATAGGTTCACTTATACTTCATGTATTCCATTACACAAGCCAACTGTTCTATTTATGTACAGTCAACATTACATTGGGTTTTGCAAATGCGGTTTAATTATTTTTTAAATCTTAATGTATTAAGCATAGAGTTCAAAATTAACTACAAACTAAAATCTTTTTTAAATTTTAATTTAAAGTTACATTTGAATAAAATATGTAAAACTTATTCTCATTCAAAGTATTTCAGACTTAAGAATAGAAAGTAAAAGTGGTAATGAAATATGAATGTCAGCACTGTCTTGTTTGAATCATACCTTATTAAAAATGGTCATCTAATTTGTAGATTACAGTAATATAAACACAATGCTACAAATAATACACAGTGAAATTATGTTGCACAAAGTATAGTTTTGAAATTAACTAAGATATCAGAATTAAGTACCTGCTTAATTTCAGCTTCCATTTTAAGATAAAGCAGGTTCTTGAATTAGATGGACCTGAATTACTACCTAAGAAGAAACCTTTCTAATTAGGAAGCCAATCTCACTGCCACATATGCTTAACAAACACATCTGTTATAGTAATTCAATAAAATTCTGTAATTTAGTTTATAAAGTAGGTATATTATAATTAGCACCATTGTCTTGTGCAATAGTAAAAAACAATATATTTTACTGTTTAGTTTACTGTCCAATTAAGGTTCAAACTTAAATGCTCCCAGTGCCTTTACATCTATAATGGCCTCCTGGAGAAGTACCTCCAGGTGTGCCTAATCTTAAATTACGGGCAAATACTAATGTATAAATACTTGACAAGTAATTCAATTTCGCTATTAAACTATACCATCAGACTGCAAATAGGTTAGTCATTGAAACCTTGTACAGTCATATATAATAATAAAATATCAATATTAATTAATTCATTCTAGATGTGCATAACGCCCACAAATTTACCAAACTTAGCAGCCCACAAAGGGACAGATGACAGGCATCAACATACTTGTTTGACTAAATTTAGTTCTTTTAAATGCAAATAAGTAATTAGTCATTCATTCATATAGTCAAAGTATAACATGTATAAATATCAATACAGTCTGTAGAAGGATCTGAAAATTCATTGTAATAAAGCTTAAAGTGCAGTGGAGAAATTATACAACTTTGTTTTTCCTGACGTGCTGTTGCATCCCACAGCATTATCATTTTGCGAGATGACACTGCACCAAATAAATGTCTTTGAACAAGACACAAAACTCCTGACAGAACAATCACTCATTTTGCTTTCAGGGAAATAGAAAAATATTTTAAGCATTTCCCTGGTTGTGCGGCTATTCGGTCGTCTTGTTCACCAATAGACCCTCAGAACTTTTTTCGGAAGAAGCAGGTTTAATTAGGTTTGGTTATGGTTTTTATTACTGCCTAAGTCATAAAATACTTAAGTTTACTTTTTATTAATAGTGATTAAACAGCTAATTTCTCTTATTCAAAATTTTGAGTGATTATGAGTACACATTATGAATGTGACATAATGATAGAATGACAATAGTTTCTAGATAAAATTCTGTAAAATGTATGTTATGTATGTACTCTGCGATGTCGTAAATTAGCAAAATTGCCTTTTCAAGGTTGACAAATTACGATATTATGCAAGTTTATACAAAAATATAACTAGGTTTCAGTCACATCACTTAGGCTGAGTGTGGAGTCAAGTTAACAGTTAAATATTATGTATGAAGCACGGAGAACAGGGGGGTGCAACTCTGTATAGGCGATGTGAGATACCTACGGGGGCTGAATATTATTACTTCTAGCAACAACAGAATTTCATAATGGCAACATCCGTAATTTTTGAAAGTGTATCAATGTTGCCAGCACACATAAATTGTTCTAATTTGGTTATTATTGTAATTAGGAATTGCACTTAAATAATCATTATTTCACCATTTTGTATTGATGTTATACTTTTTATGTTATTTTTTTTATTAAAATTTATTTGCCTTTGCCTTTGAATAATCAAATAATTGATATATATGGCATATTTTATCTTGAATAAAAAAACTCGAAGAACTTTATATTAATAATACTTCCATTAGCCTGGCAGCACCGAAAATGGCGATCGGTTTTCGTTTTCATGCGTGATCGGTTGTGTTTGAAACAAATTTGCGTTTTCTATACTATAACGTCGAGTTGAGCTTTTGTTCCTCCGTTTTATGTGCTAGGAAATTGCAGTGAGTTGTGCCTTTAATCAGACAGTGACTGTAATCGTGTTTTGTGAAAAAACATCTTCATAAAGAAGAATTATTTCCAGCAGCACGATGGCCGATAAAGAAAATAAGAGAAAATGTTTCAAATGTGGTTGTTCTCCAGCTACGGACAATGTCAAATTGTTTAGAATTCCTAAACCTTCTATATGGAACCTTAGTCGGTATGTAAAGTTCATTTCAGTACCTAAATTTCCATAAATAATTATAACTAGTAACCGTTATTTTAAAGATCCTTTTAAAAGTAGAAGAGATTTACCATGTCGTTTATATTGCAACCTATCCAAAACGCAACAGCAAATAGATATTGATATGTTAACATATTGTTTGCTTAAATATTTGATCGATTTTGCATGGGCTGGTTTAAGCATTTTTCATTAATATATTGTTTACTTTTCTTTTCAGTTGTTTATTATGGGCCAACTATATGTTCCCTGATGGTGACTATAACTCTGTTTCATTTCAAACAAAACTACATAATGAACACAGAATGCTTTGCCAAAAACATTTTAAGGAATGTGATTTCACTGATAGTTCTAAAAAGAAGTTAATAAGAACTGCCTTTCCATCTGATGTAAGTTAACAACTAAAATGCAGCAAATAGTTTTCTGAATAGAGGCTTCTTATTTTTGTTATATATTTATGTATATAATATAGTAAGTTTAGTTATTATTAACACTTATTTGGTTTCCCAGGCTCAAGAAGATTTACAACATTTTGAAGAGCCACAGCCAGGCCCTTCGCACAGAATACCTTTGGGAAATTTAGAAAATATTAAATCTGGATATGATAACATTCAAAATCAGAAGACAAGTCCTGTTATGTATAAACCTAAAACACAAAGAGAGTCTGAACTGTACACCAAGTGTTGCAAATATTTAAAAAAGGTTTGCAAATTGAGATCTCGAGTAAAAACTTTAAAAGCAAAAAATACTTTGAAACTGTTAGAAGATAATAAAACAATAACTAAGTTGTCAAATAAAATTTCTCCAGCATTTGCTTTACTACTACAGGGGCAAATAAAAAACTTTAAAAAAAAGGCTACTGGTCGGAGATGGTCTAACAAAGAAAAAATTACAGCATTGAGAATATATAAAAAGTCTCCAACATGCTACAGGTTACTGCGCAGACTATTTTGTTTGCCATCACCTGGTACATTGAGAATATTATTAAATAAAATACCTTTCAATGTAGGAGTCAATCTTTGTATTTTTAAAACCTTGGAGGACTTTATTAAAACTCAAGATCCCACCGATAATGCCTACACATTGATGTTCGATGAGATATCATTGAAGAAAAATTTATCATATAATGTTAAAGAAGACTTTATAGAAGGTTTCCAGGACCATGCTGGACAAGGGAGGTCACCCCTTATTGCTGGATATGCTTTAGTGTTTATGATAGTAGGTATAAGAAAGAGGGTGAAGCAGCCAGTTGCCCATTATTTTTCCAGTGGGTTTTCGACTGCAGATAGATTATCTGTACTCATAAAGGAGGTAAATACATGAACAGTTACTTCATTATACTTAAAAATCATACTTTTGTTAAATATCTTTTTTTGGAAATGTTAACTAATATATATTTTTATTTCTATTAAAGGTACTACAGCAATGTTTTGAAGCAAAACTGAACATAGTAGCCATGGTCTGTGACTGTGATGGAGTCAATAGAAGGGCACTAACTATTTTGGGTGCATCACAGGAGCAACCAAGCATATATTTTAATAATAAGGAGATTGTAACTCTCTATGATCCTCCACATTTATTGAAATGTTTCCGAAACACACTATTGAAGCATGACATTGAATGCAATATGAATATTTCATCAGATAATAAGTTAGGAAGAGGTATGTAATTATTATTTGAAAAATTATCTATTCCTTATTGATAACAATATCAACTCTACTGATAGCCAAACCTAGAAATAGTTTTTATAACTTATTTTTAAAAGAAAAAACGTGTTCTAAATTAACAATTAACACTGAATACTTTTAATAAACTAATCATATGTTTTATTACATATATGTAAATTCAAAAATTATATATTTTTGCAATATGTTACTATTTTACTTAATAAAAAATTTTCTTGTGTAAGTAA